TCCTTCGATGCATCGTCCCTCTCTTTTGGCATATTGCCCAATCGGTATGTTGTCTTCCTGTAACATCTAATCTCTTTGGCGCAATGTCCGATCTTCTTGGCTTGATGCTCGAACTCATGGCACGAAGCCTTTTGGTGACACGTTGACTGATCCTTCGGCTCGATGTGTAATCTTCTAACATAATCACTCCAGCTCAACATCTGATTCCTCCTACTTTAATCAATTTGCCTCTCCTTAATCAAAGCTAGTCCTGGATCACTCAAAATATAAATTAGATCACAAACTCATCAATTAATTTCATCATCAAAATCCGAGATTCAATATGATCTCCCCTAGGTGAGAACGTCTCAACCACTTTATGTAGTTACGTGATTTTGTCGCTTTTGAGTTTTACACTTCTGATCGATCTTCGTATGACGATTCTATAAGATTAATTTGGGAAATCAATTTTTATTTTTTTATTTTTCGCTATGCATGTGATGCTCTCTGCAATTTTCCAACATGAATTGCCATCAAAAGCCTTTAGCATCAAGAGGCGAAAGTTAGTCGGTAGGGGCTCCTCTTAGATATCTTGGACAAAAGGAGAGTTGCCCAAGACGGGGTTGCCAACCTCCCCCTTGGACTACTAGAATTCCCGTTGCACCTCGTCCAAGCATTAGTTCACCAGTCTCAATTGAGCCCTAAGCGAATTGTCCATGGAATCTGCTGACTAAGTGTTTGACTCAAGGAAGGTCGAGGCAATGCAACGGAGTGGAGGAGCATTGCACTCCACCATCGGGGAGCGCGGATCCTCGAGTTGCCCCTCAACTGACTAGGGGTGGTCTTGGTGACGGTGGATCAATCGGGTTAGCCCCGAGGGGTGTGGGAACAAGCGATGGTTGGACCATTGGCCACAGTTGTGAAATGGGTGTCATTTGTTGGGCTAGTTAGGGCAGTAGGGGAGCAATGACTTGCATCATCCCAACAAGTGCCTGTACTTAGTGAGTGAGATTTAGGAAGGCCTCAGCAAGGATGATTAGCTGTCCCACATTAGTTCCTGGAGGGGAGAGTTCGGGGTCATTAAATAGGCGCTAGTAGCACCCAAGGGTCTAAGCTGAGGTGGACTCATTTACTTGTGGGAGGGTGGGTAGTTGCCCTCCTTAGCCGAATATATTGTGTGTGGGGGGAGGAGCCTCCTCGTTGGAGCGCTTATTGAGAGGATTCATCAGTGGACGCTTTTGCGACATTCGACCCTCCTAGTGCTAACATGTATATAACTTGATGCCATAGACCTTGAGTCATTATGGCTTGGTCCAATCCTAAAGGTGCAAAGTCATCTAAGTGACTTCTCTAGGGGAAGACGGAGCGATGAGAGCGAGGCAGGGGCTGAAGAGGACAGTTCACGAGATTGCTGTCGAGCCTTTCGAGACATCACGAAGTGGGGCTGAAGTAGGTTTGATCTTTGCCAGGGTCCTGTACAACAAGTCAATGTCGGGGGATTCTCGACTCGATCCCTCTGATGCTTAAGTTAATAGATGAAGAATGAGTTTGTATCATGTGGGTTGTTCTTCGAAGCCCCCTCCTCCTCACTTGCCAGATCAGTTCTTATACTTGTGGAGCCGACGAGAAGGAGTTGTAGTTGGTGAGGACCAATCGTATTTCTTTGCAATGCAATCATGTGGGCGATCGGCTCGTATATCTCTTGCGGTGCGAGTCGACCTATCCGGGCTCCTGTAGCATGACACCAATTCATATCGTCCCATGCAGTGCGAAGTTGGCGAGGGACGACCAAGAGAGCTTCACCCTCCATCTTAGTTCTTTTCTGTGTCAGACGGATGCCGAGGTGTCTTCAATGTCAGCTCCCATGGTGGTTACCTATTAGCAAACTACTATTGATGCTAAAATATTCCCTATCAAAGACCAAATACATTCATAATCTTTTACATGCACGAGTGGTCATATAATACAAGGGCTCATGGCTGCATCGTGTGAAGGAATATAAAGATATGATTTGAGCTCTCTGATCCACATGCTGAAGGAGAAAACATTGAATATAATTAGAGATATTTCATATAATCTTCTTTGAATAATTGAAAGTTTTTTATATATTTAAAGAGGACATAGAATGACCAAATGGTTGATATGTCGGACGTATATATCTGCCCATATCTAAAAGGGAAATAGCCTCAGGTATATAAGATGATTATTTACAACTGCAGCAACAACTTGACTGGCCTGTGAATGCTGCAAGCAGTACGCCGTAAGGTTTGGTGTTGAAGACCTGCAAGTAGTACAAAGATATAGCAGAAGAACTAAGTGAGTCAACTGACGATGCAGAATAGAATTTTAATGATCATCAGACAGTTCTTGATATAATAAGTGCACAAAAAACTAAATTAAAGAGAAAGCAATGAAGAGTTTGGAAACAAGAATTTGGATTAAATTTATCGGATGCACCAAAAAAAAAAAAATTCAATGGAAGGGAGAACTAATCTGTAACCTTAATCACCAGAAACTATTCAGCCACAATAACAATTCACCTCTTGGCACACAGACTTCAACACTCAGCAACCATCCGTCACAATGCCTTCAAATAGTCATCAATCATTTCCAGGAAAGACTTAAGTAAAATTGTTGCTCAAATGTGCTTAAATGAACTGACAAAAATGATTTCGAACTACATTCAACAATATATAAACGCTCAAAGATCAATAGAAATCCCTAACTCGAACAATAGCTTAAACAAGAAGAAAAAGTCTCAATTGATAAACACGTAATTTTCTAAAAGTATAACCATTTTTAGAACTTGCCATCTGCCCATGCAGATTGATATACAATCTGGAAATTTCTCAAGATTGAATGTGTCTGGAGCACTGATAATCCCCCATGGTCTGCATCTTAAAAACATCGGTGGAAAAGCATTACCCAATCAACATCAAAAGGGAATCACATCCACATATTCATATCAGTGATTTAGCTGGAAAAGAAAAGCATTGATCCATAATCTGGATAAATCTCAAGCATATTATTTACTTGCCAAAACCAACATCTTCATTTCATTGAACCACGTCTGTGTCGGTTTCCGAAAACGACACTTTTCCTGTTTACATCAATGGTCTTGAATTGTTGTCCGAAGCAAACAATTTGATTCCAAGAAAAGTATACATAACCCTTTCTTCATCATGCAACATGAGGCAGTTAGATTTAGTTATAGAACTCAGTAACATGTTTAACATTTTATTGTGTCAGCACACTGTTATCGAGCTGTCTTTAAAAAGAAATAAGACTTACATAACATGATGACCAGCAGCATTAATTCAATATAGGTGACATTTTGAAAAATTATCTTTCATGCCATGATATCAGCATGTAAATTGTTCTCATAGATTAATCTGTTATGCAGTCAAAGTGGAGCAATGATCATCAAACATTGAGGATTTTCTAGTCCCAAGGACAACATGCTCATTGTTTGCTGAACAAGTCATAATTAGATTTTAAAAGAGACTGCATATAATAATACAACATGATTGGATTACCATCATAATCAGACTTGCAAGAAGAGGATTGTTGTAAAATAAAATGCTGCAGCAACAACTTTCCTTGTAGAATTTAAGTTCAGTCGAAGATAGTTACAATAAGTCCAGTTCCCCGCATTACAGAATTTATTCCCATTTTATAATTCATATATTCCAATTTGAGATAAATGTAATTCAATCTATGTTATAAGGTGGTCCACTCCCTATTTCTGCCTAACATCCTGCATCCTTTTGTTTTTCATTCCTTTTCTCCAGCTTTAGAACATTACAGACTTGTACCTTTGATTTTCATTCCTTTTTTCCCAGCTTTAGAACACAGTTCTGATCATATTTTTGTTAGCTGCATTACGGGCTCTATTTCTGTTTTCCAGTTGATCTTTCAAGTACTCACCACTGAAGAAAATAACAGTATACAGAGCAGTCAAATGATAAGTGTATATAATGATGGAGACACATCAGCGTATACAAACTAGTATTACACTATACAATTCATATAAAATCTCTAAGAAAAAAAATATTTCAGGAGATTTTGAGTATCATATATGAAGTCAAAACATTCTTAAGAGTTGGTCCACTACAAAAAAATAACTGAACGATCTAATGTTGTGTTGTATGTTTACTTTTTCAGATAATGCAAGATGCACTGTATGAACCGAATTCATACTTCCTCGTTTCCTCATGAACAAGATTTTAATGCATGTGTGCTTTGGGTAAACTACACCATCAATCAAAAGTGTCCAACTTATCCTTATGCGTGTGCAAATAACTTCAATTTGACACCGAATAACACAAACAATACAGAATAAAAAGAAAAAACAAATAGAAGATTCTCAAAGATGCAAAGACATTTGAGGAGCTAGTTCAGATCTCCAAAACAAAATGAGTTATCAAGTACTGAACTATCAACTGCTAAACAAATAAACCAAGAATTAAATATAATCTAGTAACCAATAAAATGATCCATAGTATTGGTTACCTTACTCCAAAAACTCGAGCAAATTTAAATATCTCCATAGATGTTCTTTACACTTGACTCAAAAAAACATACCTTCTTCTTGTAACTCCCAATGATTACTCTCTAGCATTTCAGATCACCCATCTAGCAGTATCTTGATGAATCAAAACTGCAAAATAGTTCTCAGCTGTGATGGCCAGAGAGTTATTAAACATTACAGTAAAAGAGTTTAAACTTATCACTGGATCACAGCCATCTACATCAGCACAAGGCAACACAACATGCCTGCTCATCAGAATTCGATGAGCATTTGAATGGCAACCAAGTGGGCTACTCTTCAAAGAAACAGGATCACAACACAAATTCACAACATCGAACCAAATATGGAAAATACATTTCTTGAATGCATCAGTCCGTTACTATGTAGAGAGAAAATATCACTATCTGATTGGATTTTCATATAGATTCAGCTAACAAGTTACAACCTTTTTGATATAAACAGGGCTAGTTATTTCTAAAGCTACTCCAAAAACTAGGATGAAGGAACAAAGAAAGGGTTGAAAAAGATGGTCTTTCCTTTACAGTAGCCATGAGATATGAAAATAAGGGAACCCATTAAGCATGCAGCTCCACTGACCTCCGTATGCCACTATGCATCGCCAAGTGCAAAACAGCAACGACGGAGAAAAAACCTCGTTCATGAATAGCCACCAAATTGCTCCTTTTCAAGTCTCAGAACCAATTCCATCGCGTTCTTACCAATATTCGGATTCATATCGCCTGCCAAAACCGAGCAGAGATCAAGAATCCCTTCTTTGATAGCTGTGAAAGCCATCTCTCTGCTATCCGAGCACAAATAGTTCAACACCAAAAGGGCGTGCTCGATGCCCCGAGGACTCCCCGCTCTTAGGACCTCGGATAATACGTTAATGAATCCGATCAACTTCCTCATTTCTTCCTTACCTTCTCGGCACTTGGCGAGAAGTCCCAAAACCCGGACGGCCCTCTCCGAGCCTTCGCGGGTCAGGCGGACTAAGGGCAGCAAGGCGCCGGCTCGGACGGTCCGCCGCCGGTTCTCCGCGAATTTGCACAGCTCGTAGAGTGCCGTCGCCGCTTCCCGCCGCTCCCGGCCGTCGCCGTAGCGGAGGAGCGCTGCGAGGAGAGGTATCGCGGCGGGGTGGGCGCCGATGGTCGCCTTATTGACGTCGACGACGGCGAGGCTGGTGAGAAGCGTGGCGGCGAGGGCTGCGGCGGGGCCGCCGCGAAGGGCGGCGACGACGGGGTCGAGGGCGCCCTCGGCGACAAGGCCGAGGCGGGCGTCGTCACCATCGAGGGTGAGGTGGAGCAGGGTGCGGAGGGAGAGGTCCTGGAGGTCGGGAGGGTCGGGGGCGGCGGCGTGGCGGAAGAGGACGGACGCGGCGCCGGAGTCCGCGACGAGGCGGCGGGAGTTGGGGCCGCCGCGCTGGGCGAGGCGGAGGACGGCGGCGAGGGTGGGGGCATCGGAGGGAAAGGAGAGGGGGGCAAGGAGCAGCGCGTCGCGGTTGTCGGCGGCGGCGTCGATGGCGGTGGGTCGCTGGGCGAGGAAGCTGGAGATGAGGCTGCGGAGGGCGTGGTTGGGGATGAGGGAGGGGGAGGGGGACAGGGGGAGGTTGGTGACCGGGCAGGTAAGGTTACCGGAGTTGAGCCAGCGCTGGATGGAGGCGCGGTCGAAGGTGTGTCCCGACGGTAGGATCACCGGGTCAGTCATCACCTCCAGCGAGATGGGGCAGCGGAAGTCATCCGGCAACTCCACTTCCATCCCCATCCCTTCTCTCTCTCTCTCCCTCTCTCTCTTTGAAGGTAAAGAGAGAGATCGCAAACGAAGGCGATGAATAAAAAGAGATGAGCCTGTAGAGCGAGAGGAGTTTGTGGACTGAACCGGGTTATTTTGGGAAGGGAAGAGGAGAAGAAGAGAGAGAAATTGATCTGCCCAAAATGCCCCTGGCTAGGCGACGGGGTTTTGCGGTGGGTTGGCGGAAAGCGCGTGGGATCTGTTTCGGTGGACTCCGAGAGAGGGCGCGAGGAAGAGGGGGATGTGGTGACCGTTCGTCGAGATAAGAAAGATGTCTCGGATTCTCGCTATCAGCCGCTGCTTTAAAAAGCAAAAAACAAAAAATAAAAAAGAAAACATTTTTATTTACTTGCGTTGCTTTCGCGCGTGGGAATTCAAAGGGATTCGGAGAGAAACGGGCCACACGAGTGGACGCGGAGTGGGCACGTGCGAGGGATGGGAAGTGCATCTTGGTAATTCTACGAGCGCCGCAGGGTTCATTCAACGGCTAGGCGACGTTAAAGACGGGGAAAAGGAAGGGTAAAAGCATTAAATAAAAGAAATAAATACAAATTGGGGTCGGAGCCATGTAATAATAACGTCCCCATTTAAAGCTCCGAGTCCAAAGTTGGGTGGTGGGTTTGGCTTACACTATCCCACTTTAGTTCAAAATTGGTGCTTGGGGTTCCAAGTACAACACTTTGGCTATCATCCCCCCCCCTTTTTTTTACTTTGAGGAACAAAAAAATTGGAAAACAAACATAGGAACATGTTCATTTGGGGATATTGATGGGTTGGGTATATGCATAGACATACATGATTATAAGTTTTTCATTTAGATATAATTAGATGAGTACATTTTGCAAGTCAAAGTTATATATATATATATATATATATATAGAGAGAGAGAGAGAGAGAGAGAGAGAGAGAGAGAGAGTATTGTAAACAATAATTTTTGGCTTGTCTAAATTCTCCATGGCAATTGTTGTGAGAAAGAGCCACAGAATACATAGAATCTTAATCAGATATATTTTTTTTTAATTTTTATTTAATTCATCTCAAATAAGTGTATATTGTTGGAACCAATGAATAGAGTTGAATAAGTAAAAAAAATTGAAATAACTAGTAATAGTAGGTATGAAAGAGTTAAATTAGATATATTATTTTGCAATATATATTGATAGAACGCTTATCTAAGTTTTAATTTTTACAAAGTTCACATTAGTGATTATCATCCAACGCTTTGAATTTTTAATGATACATGTTAAACTCTTATATATTCACATCTTATTGAAGGTTTTTTTTTATTTGCCATATCCAAACTTATTGTTTTCTATGGTTAAATTGCCTATCAATCATTTTAATAGCAAGTGGTTGCAATCCTAAGAATAAACAAGTCATTTTAAGAAAATTTTATGAAGCAAAGAGCATTGGATGAGGTGAGACAATGTTAATACTATTGAAGTTATCAATCAATAAATCAAACAGAATATAATGCATATACCTTGTGCAATAAAAACAAATAAAAGAAATTATTGACCACATAGTCAAAATAGATTTTAGATAAAAATATTTTTGGGAGATTTCCGATAGATGGAACGACAGCGTTACTGCTAAGTTTTGGGAGTTACCAGTCCAATTTTTTGGTATTAGTTTACCCCCACAAAGTGTAGCCGTATAAAACGCAGGGCTTGGATTTTAGTGATTGAACATAAGACGAGTTATAATTAGATCCTACCCCAAACCAAACATTGACTTGCAAGTGCATGATTTATATTGTGTAACATCACAATTCTTGTCAAAATACAAGGAATCATGGAATAGTTTCTATTTACAAAGTACAAAGACAAGTATCTATTCCAAAGAATTAAGTTGAAGGGAGTCCTAAGATTATGTATTTTTAGCCTACTCTTACAAATAATATATTTTTCCTAGGTCTATATTTCTCATTTATTAATACAAGCATTAAAAATATTTAATTATACTATTGAAGAATTGAAGATGATCATTGTTTTCTCCCACCATTGTCGAAAATTATATATATTATTATGACCAAGCGATTTAGGGGCCACAAGTTCACCATGACTCGTGGTGATACACCATGAGAGGGGATTGGATAGGGGAGGGTGGTTGGGCCCGCAGGTGATGATGGTGCATGTTCGTCAATTGGCCTGAGGTCGACGGTGACATACGGTTTGGCGCATCGGGATTGGATCATGGATCCTCTCTAAGAATGGATTGCAAGAGTGTCTGATGAATGACCATCCGTAAGCGACAGGTCGTAAGTAAATAAAAGAATGAGAACGAAAATGCCACTTCATGTGAGTCGTAGTTCTTCTTCTGTTCAAATTTATCACGGTGTTCCCCGTCCTTAAGTTACCGTACGCAGCCATCATAACAAAATAATCTTCAACCCATGCTATCACCAAAGATACGTATGATGATAGTGGTAAATTATTATTATTATTTATTTTTATTTAGAAAAGGAGGATCGAAATTAAGGTCCAACACCAATACATTGGTTAAGTGTTAGTAGACTTGCTCATTTATCAAATGTTGGAAGTTTTAGATTTTATTTGATAATTTTTTTATACTGCTAAGGGTGTGTGTCAAACTCACTTATCAAAAATTTAAGATTTATAATATTATATATAAATTAATACCTAAGATATTAATGTTGTGTTCTTACGTTAAGGATTTGAATTGCAATGTGATAAATGTTTATATATATAACATTAATATAATGATGATATATCAGACTCATTTATTAAGAGTTAAAAATCTAATATCTCATTCGTTAATTTTTTATTATATGAGCATCCCATTTGATAAATTTTATATTTAAAATATTAATTTAAGACATTTTATATCAGAATTGGTTGTTTGTAGGAAGAAAATATTGTTTGAATCAGATCCATGTATCTATAGTGTTCTGATATATGGAAGTAGTGCTGCAGAATGTTGTGAGGATATAATTATCTGTGCTATTCTCAGCTTATTATTACAAGCTGACCAATGAAAAAAGTATGAAAATGATTTTTTTGACTCAAATATAATATTTCGAAAATATTTCATATTTTGAATTAGAGATCATTAGAATTTGACTGCTACAGAAAGTGAGAAAGCTTAATGTTCAATGCTTTTTGAATTGGACTGGTGAGACATGATTCCTGATAAAGCCAATCATTTTTAGTTCTTCAACAAAGTCAGTGGATAGGTGGTTGATTCAGTCAAGCTGCTAAGTTTGAAAGATGTCACACAATAAACTAATGGGATTTCTAATCTGTGATTGATTGGTCACATAGCCATCATGTTTTCTATATAATGAAGCTTCCATGTACTTTCCCATGATGTGCTTTGTACAAAATGTCACACAAAGTTGACAATGTCATGAGACATTCTTGGATGTCATTGTCAATGCCTATGTCACCCAAAGTTGACAAGTCCATTCATCAAACCCACCCATGCTAAATTATGAACTTGAGATCTGATGGATTTAGTGTTCTTACAGACAGATTTGTTGGCAAGTTCTTGTGACACATTTCTTCCTTCATGTTCATCATTGTTCTACAGGAGATAGTAGTTTGATCTGAGTGTGAGACAGGCATCTACATGTTTGCTTGCTCAATAATTATTGTCATCATAGGAAAAAAAAGCACATTATTGAACATCCAATGTGGTCATTGAAAAGCTTACAACAGTACATCCAATGATGGAGCACAAAGAACATGCAGTATAAGCTCATGTGCTTGCGTTCTCACATGTTTACTTCTCTCATTTGTGCACGCTTTGATTGCATAGTGACATCACATTAGAATAGAAAGTTGATGCAGCCAAACAAACAGACTTTGGAAGAACACTGTGCTTCACACATCATCTGCAATCTATTTCTGTGTTGGTGACTTCATTGACAGAGCAGCTCTCAGAGCTCTCCAGTTTGCTTCTCGCCCCAAAGAATGCAACTGGTTTGGGTGCAGGGAGATCATCTGCATCACTATTTAGCAGGGAGACCACCGTTGACATGGTTGGCCTGTCCGCTGGGAATTCTTGAACGCACAGCAGCCCAAGTTTAATGCACCTCATCACTTGAGAGCTATTGCATGAATCGCCCAATGATGGATCTACCAGCTCTAGGATTCTGTGCTCTTCCCACAGCCTCCATGCCTGCAACATCCAATATCAAATTGCCACACTTCATATGAGTGTTAGAACACCAGAAGAAGAAGAAGAAGAAGAAGAAGAAGAAGAAGAAGAAGAAGAAGAAGAAGAAGTTTTGAGTGAGTACTTACGTAACCCAAAAGGCCAATCGATTCATCGTCGTCGTCGTCGTCGTTGAGATAGTAGCTATTCTTCTTACCACTCAAAATCTCTAAAACCAAGACGCCGAAGCTGAAGACATCCGATTTCTCGGAGAATTTTCCTCCCATGGCATACTCAGGAGACATGTATCCACTGCACGTTAGCATCGATTGATGAGATCCTTCAAAAGACGAGACATCAGGCAATGATTGATGTGACTTACATTGTTCCAACAACTCTCTTCGTTGTTTCTTGAATCTGATCTCCTCCAAAGATGCGTGCCATCCCGAAGTCAGAAATTTTCGGATTAAATTGTTCGTCAAGCAGAATGTTGCTGGTTTTCAGATCTCTGTGGATTATTCTCAATCGAGAGTCGCGATGAAGGTAGACCAGTCCTCGAGCAACACCCTCGATGATGCTGTAGCGCTTTCTCCAGTCCAGTGTTCTTGAATTAGTGGCGTCTGGCCAAGATATTATTAGAACAGGTCAAGAACACAAGCTAGCTCGAGAGAAAAGAGCTTCTACTGCAAAGATGATGATGAAGAGATTAGCAAACTGACCAAAGAGAAAGAAATCCAAACTCTTGTTGGCCATGAATTCATAGACCAGTAACTTCTCTTTTCCATGGATGCAGTAGCCCAAAAGCTTCACAAGGTTCCTGTGTTGGAGTCTGGATATAACTTCTACCTCATTCTTGAATTCCTTTGTGCCTTGACCAGACCTCTCTGACAGTCTCTTCACAGCTATCACTTGCCCATCAGCAAACCTTCCCTGGTGAAAGATGTTATCCAATAAAAGATCACAAGCTTAACAACATCAAAAGAGTATTCTCAAGGAGAACATGAAGAGTACCTTATAAACTGGGCCAAATCCTCCTTCTCCAAGCTTATTCCCATGATCAAAGTAGTTTGTTGCTGCTTTTATGATGTCTATATCGTATTGTTGTGAATCTAAGCCTTGATTACCCGAGGAGTTTCCGACCACAGTTGATTCTTCTGTTCTTCTCGATGCTATATGACAATACCATATCAAAGTTAAACTAAATTCATGAGTGAGACTTACGTTTGATGACCTTCGAGTTGCACACATGTTACTGTGAACTTGGCGCTGAGCTAAGAAAAGAAGGAGAGGATTAAACTTACTTCTGTGTCTGTAGACATGCTTAAACAACTTGCAACCACCGGTGTACAAGAATTTGTGAACGCAGAAGGACATGATGTTCTCAGAGAGCAAGGTTTTCTTGAACAGGTTCCCTCACACACAATGCTGGATGCAAAGCAATGCATTAAAATGTCTTATTGTTGCTCATCAGAAAACTTCGTGAAGACATCATTGTTTGTCATCAGCAGGTTTGAACTTGAGGAACAATTAAGTTTGTTGACCATGTTATCTGTCATAATCAACACTGTCATGTTGGTTATTTGAATGTGATTGGGAAGGTCGAATGATGATAAGAACAAAGATGAAGATAGCTAAATAACATGATTGACTTAGTCAAAGTCTTAGGGCACTTGCTTGGCAATGAAGTAATGATTTTGTTAAGACTTTACATCTGTATGATCTGTGTTTTTATTATTATTATTGTTTTTCTTCTTTTTACCCCAATGTTTCTTAACCTCTAATTTTTTTCTCTCACAAAGGCTATCTATTGAGCAAATTTTATTGAACGAATAATTTAAAGTCGTCTTAACCAAGATTTCAAAATATTATAGTAGTAACTCATCAAATCTTTACAAATTCATTTAATTTTACTTCAACTTTGATATGAGACTATGTTTGGAGTGTCACGATCTCCTCCATCCTAAAGCCTCTATATTATTCGTATATGAAACAAAATTAGAAGTGTTGAATCATTGGTTTAAAATACTCAACGTCAAAGTTTATGATCAGTCGTTAAAAAATTATTCAATTCTACTTTCATTTCCTATATGAAACAAAATTATTGCTTCGTCAAAGTCTTACGGCACTTGCTTGGCAATGAAGTCTTACGACACTTGCTTGGCAATGAAGTAATGATTTTGTTAAGACTTTACATCTGTATGATCTGTGTTTTTTTATTATTATTGCTTTTCTTCTTTTTACCCCAATGTTTCTTGACCTCCTCTAATTTTTTTTTCTCACAAAGGCTATCTATTGAGCAAATTTTAATAAACGAATAATTTAAAATCGTCTTAACCAAGATTTCAAAATATTATAGTAGTCCTTACAAATTCATTTAATTTTATTTCAACTTTGATATGAGACTATGTTTGGAGTGTCACAATCTCCTCCACCCTAAAGCCTCTATATTATTCGTATATGAAACAAAATTAGAAGTGTTGAATCATTGGTTTAAAATACTCAACGCCAAAGTTTATGATCAGTCGTTAAAAAATTATTCAATTCTACTTTCAATTCCTATATGAAACAAAATTAGAAGTGTTGCGGAAATACAAGATGAGATGAGATTGAGAAAATCATCTTCACTTGTATTAGATAGGATAAAATATAAAGAAAAGAGTCGATCATTTGTATATTTTGAAGTGAAAAAGACACTGAACAAAAACAACATACAGAGTTTGAATTGATATGAGTAATATTCTAATCTTCAAACTAAGTCAGCAAACATCAAAGCTAAGAGGAGCTTCAAACTTTCGATCACCTAAGATCATCTTAAAAATGGTTTTGACAATGACAGTTTGGAGTGTCAGGCTTGAGGAATCATAAAAATAAAAGCTGGAAGGAGATAGAAGCCTAGAAGACGGACCAGTTGAAGAACAGGTAGAACAAACAGAAAAGTGAAAGAATGGTCTTCATCTGCTTTTGCTAGTGAGTGTCTGATATCCTTTTTTTCTTTTCTGGAAAAGAAAACTATATTAATCAAGCAAAATGGATGCAACTCATATTCTGAGGTTTTATCCATCCGAGAGAAAACTAAAGGGTTGCTTATTAAGAGGAATAGTATTTAACTACGTGGACTTCTTTCTATCATAGTGATGAGGAATATTTTAGATCTCAGCCACGTCGCAACCGATGCACACCATGCCCTCGCCAAGTCAGCACAAGGAGTACTTCCATGCACCAAATAGGATCCATACCAAGGCACTCCTTTGCACATCCCGTCCCGGAAAACTCGGGATGATGTCGTATGGCACCGTTCCATGCATTCCGGGACGACGGCCACATGAAGGTACTACCTCGCCCCTCGGGGATCGACCGTCATGCCAAACCCACATATGGCTGACCCTCGTACAATAGTATAAAAACACATGACTGGCATCTGGCCAAGAGGAGGAGAAAAAAGAGGGAGGACGAAGCACTAACTTAATCATCGAGGGGCCAAAATCAGGGACCACCCAATGAGGGCCTTCTGTGCAGGAGTGCGATCATCCCCGAAAGCGCGACCCCCAAGGAGAGAGATGCCCTCCCAAAGACGATATCGGCATTCAGACCGAGAGGTGCCCCCCTTAGATGAACGTGGTATCCCGACCCACGGGTGTGATCAGCCTCGGATCCCCGTTCGATCGATCGTAGACTCCCGACATCGACCCGTGGACCTAGCCGTGCTGACTCACCAGCCACGGTGCATTTGTTCACTAATATTTTTGGCGCTAGAAGTGATAAAAATTAAATGATATAATTGTCTAGTTCATTTTGATAGTGAGCTCTTGATAACTATTTATACACACTCAGATGGGAGGTTATACACATTCAGCATGGAGGATTTTTCTCAAATGCTTAGAGATTTCCTTAACTGCCTTGAGGAAATCTTATCTGCTTATCATGCTCCGGTAAGATTGAGCTTCTAAGGATGCCGATATTGGACCGATGAGATGAAAAAAGTTTACAGGCGAGAGCCTTTGTGAGTGAGTCTGCTAGTTGATCAGCTATATGTACGTGAGAAACACGGAGTTGATGTCTGACAACTTCAATGGCTATGTGTTTCATGCAAGAATAGAACACTGGATTAGCACATAAGTAGGTAGCTCCAATATTATCACAATATATTGTAGGAATAACTGTGGAGTTGACGTTGAGTTCCTTGAGCAGATTTGTGACCCAATTGAGTTCAGCAGCGGCGGTGGCAATGGCATGGTATTCAGCTTCAGTTGTAGATCGTGCAACCGTCTTTTGTTTTTTAGAACTCCAACTGATTGTAGTAGCTCCAAGGAAGAAAATGTATCATGACGTAGATGTTCTATCATCAAAGTTCCTTGCCCAATCAGCATCAGCAAAGGCATGGAGATGGAGTGAAGTATTTTTGCGAAGAAAAATACCATGATTAAGAGTCCCTTTAAGATACCGTAAAATTCGTTTGACCGCAGACCAATGCGTAGTAGATGGTCGATGCATGAATTACGATAATTTATTGACAGCAAATGAAATATCTGGACGGGTGAGAGCCAAGTACTATAAGGAGCCAAGGACTTGTCGATATTGAGTCGAATCTGTAGTAGGACTTCCATCACATAATTTAAGTGATTCACTGGTAGAGAGAGGAGTTGTAACCTCTTTCGCATCCTGCATGTTTGTCTTTGATAATAAATCTTAAATATACTTTCTTTGTGATAGGAAGAGACCTGAAGATATAAATGTTGCTTCCACTCCCAAAAAGTAGCTTAAAGTTCCTAGATCTTTGAGGGAGAATCGATCGGCCAAGTGCTTTAGAAATGCCTGAGTCTTCAAAGGATCATTTCCTATGACAATAATATCATCCATATATACTAAAAGATATATTATGCTTCTATTGTGCTGACAAATGAATAATGAGGTATCAGACTTGGAATTGATGAAGCTAATTGAGGTAAAAAACGAGCCAAGCTTGTTATACCAAGCCCTTGGAGCTTGACGAAGTCCATAAATAGCTTTTTGAAGTTTGCAGACATGCCTCAGATATTGAGGATGAACGAAACCAGGGGGTTGCTGCATAAAGACATCTTTAGTAAGTGTCCCATGTAAAAAGGCATTGTTAACATCCAATTGTCGTATGTGCTAGCCCTTTGAGATGACCAAACTCAAGATAAGACGAATTATTATGGGTTTAACAATGGGACTAAATATCTTTACACTAGTAAAAAGATTTTTGTAAGAAGATTTTTGAGCATCATATTCGTCACACATAGCTTTACACTAGTAAGAAGATTTTTGAGCTTGAGTGATTGTAGTGGGTTCACTGGCCTCAGTGGAGGAACTTGTTATAGCATGTAAGTCAAGGACTTGACGTGGTTTGACAATGCCACTTTTGGAGCGTGTTGTCATTGAATGTCTAGGGGGGATAGAAGTGGTAGATTATGTTGGTGGTATAGCCGAGGGCGAGTCAATGTCATGGACCGGGCCAACCGTCGGCACGATAATGTCACTAGGTCTAGGAGAAGGTAAAGCCAGTGGCAATGTTGCTGAGGGTATTACTTCATTAATAGGGGAAACTTGTGAGTAAGGGAGTGGAGAAATAGATGGAGTGAGAAGCTGTTGAACTTGAGTAATAGTAGTATGCGGATCTTGAGGGTAAGGACTGGATGGTGTCATTGGAGATTCGTGTGATGAGATCGGAGGGATATTCCAGTGATGCATGTTTATTGGAGTAGCTTGCATGGTAGGATTATTTTGAAAAGGAAAGACAGACTCCTCAAAAATAACATGACGTGATATAAAGACTTTTTTAGTTTGGGGTTCATAGCATCGAAAAGTATTATGTTCAAGAGAGTAGCCTATAAAAGTGCAAGGCTTAGACCGTGGTGTTAGCTTATGTGACACATAGGGACGGAGCTATGGATAACATAAACATCCAAAAACTTTAAGTTTATGAAGGTTTAGAAGCTTGTGGAATAATTTTTCAAATGGTGATTGGTATTGTAAGACTGGAGTGAGCATACGATTAATGAGATAAACTGCAGTTTGAAAAGCTACTGACCAAAAAGGTGGTGGCATGGATGCTTGATGTAGAAGGGAGAGACTAATTTCAACGATATGCCGATGTTTACGTTCAGCAGAGCCAACCAATTGGGGAGTATGTGGGGGTGACTCGAGGTGTTGTATACCACAAGCAGAGAGATAGGATGTGAGGGCTTGATATTCGCCTCCGCCATTAGAGTAAACATTTTTAATGGAAGATTGAAAAAAATTCTCGATCAACTTTTGAAAGTTGGTAAATACTGTAGAAACATAAAACTTATGGTGGAGAGGATATAACCATGTGTACTTAGTAAAATAGTCTACAAAAATGACATAAAAGCGAAACTTGTCAAAAGAAGGAATTGAGGTAGGGCCCCACACGTTGGTATAAATGATTTCAAATGATTTAGAGCAAGAAATGGAGGTTGTCCCAAAAAACAGTTTATAACTTTTATTG